GGATATCTGGGGGCCATACTCTCGGGGTTTCTCCAGTCTGTCTGACCAGTAAGTCTGATCTTTTTTTTTTTGTGAGTTAGAATTTTGTTCTACATTTTCCTCCAGCTCTGTCTGGGACCCTCTATTGTGATCCCTGTCAGAGCAGTTGGTGGTGGTAGCTGGGCACCATCTAGTTGTGCTGGACTCAGTCTGGTGGAAGCTGTAGTACTTGTGGTCCATTAGTCATTTGGACTAATCTTTCCCTTGTGTCTTTGGTTTTCTTCATTCTGCCCTGAATGATAGCTACTTCTATCAAGAGCTTAAATTAGTTTGGAGGTCAATTTCTTCTGATTTCAAGAGCATAAGAACTGTTTCATAACCCCTTTCTTAGCTGAAAGTGAGAAATCACTACTTCTGATATAGGACAGATATTTGCCCGTTTGGGATCATCCTTAGCATAAGAGCTATTCTTAAACCCCATAAGAGACAAGACCCAGGATGGAATACAGCCACTAGATTCTCTTATAACCTGGTATGTCCTCTGTATTGGCAGTGATAGGCCAGGTTAGTCTCCTCCTCACCAGGTATAGTGCAGACCTAAAATGGTTTAGACAAAAGGCACAAGAGAAAGGGAATAGTGAGTTGTGCAGGAGGAAGGCAACTCATCTATCCACATCCCAAAAGATGCTTAGCTAACACTGTTCTCCACAGCATGAGAAAAATGTATCCATTACTTTACAAAAATCTGAATAAACATGTACTAAGCTGGTTAATTGTAATAACAAATTTTTATAAATCTGAAAGAAAAGTAATTGATGTTCATGTTAGTGATATAATTAAAGATGTTTAATATACTTTCTGAAACAATACTAAACACTAAAATTGGTCTTTAGAAATTATATGGCATAGAGATGCTCACTAGCCAGAATATTAACATACGCAAACCCCAAACCCACTCCTGTCATGTCAGTTCTGACTCATAGCAACCCCATGGGTTTTCCAAGGCTGTATGTACATCTCTGTGGAAGCAGACTACCATCCAGACCATGCTTAATAATTTGAGATTTTATCGCGTATTATTCTCTAGGGAATAGGCTCTTAGATTGTAGAGTATTTTCTTCTAAATGTGCTGACACATACTATATGAACATAAAAGTATAAGTCATAGAACCCAGATCTACTTAGTTGGCACCTTCACACAAAACTTGATAACCCATTGCTATCAAGTCGATTCCAACTCATATAGTGACCCTATAGCACAGAGTAGAATTGTCCCATAGCGTTTCCAAGGAGCAGCTGGTGGATTCAAACTGCGACCTTTTGGTTAGCAGCTGAATGCTTAACCACTGCACCACCAGGGCTCCGCCAAACTTGATAGTGGTGGTTTAAATATGAAGAGCTTGTAAACTGATATTATATGGCAAAGTTATAATGAAGATTTAGATAAATAAACTTTGCCTTAGAAAGCTAGAATTTCTATTATTATAATGGAATAGTATAGCCTTTTCAGTTTGAAAAGAATGCTTTACATAGCTTGTTTCTCTCTTTGCCAGCAGTAAGAAAATTATCAGTCATTTCTTTTAGTTTCCTTGTCAGAAGCCCTTTGAAATTGTCTCTACACCAGCCATTCTGAACTTTGAGTTGATGGCATACATATATCTAAATGATTCGTGAGTTGACGTAAGAACCATAGTTCCGTGATAATTATCTTCAAATCAACAGGTATATTAAATGTGGTAGGTTTTTTTCTTTTTCCCTGAAAAGTTACTATTAAACTGCTGATATATTTTATAATTGATGGCATTTTACTATTGAGAAAATAAGACTTTTGTGGGGTATTTTAAATCAGTGAAATATAAAAATTTGAAAATGATTTACCATCTTACCAAAATAAATTAAAATGAAATAAAAGTTGTCCCTAAAGTAGTGTCACCTTTTTCACTTGCAACTAAATATGCACATTTGAATGGCAGAGAAGAGGTGGCCCTCTAGCTAAGCTGGTGTACCATGGATTGTTAATTAGCGTGTCTTATGTGTGAACTTCTGTTGTGTTTGCCAAGGTGGAAGAAACATTGAGAAATGCTGATATCTACACTTTGCTGGGAAGGCAGGGATGGGAATGGCTTCCTTTCACAGTGCTTCTTGATTCCATATGTAGGGACATCCATTAACCTAAGAGTCCTGGTCTCTCCCATTTCCCTCCTACCTCCCCAGGAAGGAAAGGAGTTAAGGGTAAAGACTAGGCCTGCTAGGCCCTCCCTCCCCTTTCTTTGGATTTATTATGCCTGCAGAGAGCCTATGCTGTGTTTTAGGCTTTGCAGTTAAGGCTCTCTGCCTCTGCAAGGGGACACTCATGATTGTGTAGAGCTGCCCATGCTTGGTGAACAGGTATTTCTTTTTTTTTTTTATTGTGCTTTAAGTGAAAGTTTACAGTTCAAGTTAGTTTCTCATAAAAAAATTTATACCCACACTGTTACGTGACCCTAGTTGTTTCTCCCTGTAATGTGACAGCACACTCCTTTCCACACCAGATTTCCTGTGTCCATTCAACCAGCTCCTGTCCCTTTTTGCCTTCTCATCTCGCCTCTGGACAGGGGCTGCCCATTTACCAAAATATGTATCTACTTGAGCTAAGAAGCTTTCTCTTCACAAGTATCGTTTTATGTCTTATAGTCCAGTCTAATCTTTGAAGAGTTGGCTTCGGGAATAGTTTCAGTTCTGGGCTAACAGAGAGTCCAAAGGCAGTGTCTTCTGGGGTCCCTCCAGTCTCAGTCAGACCATTAAGTCTGGCCTTTTTACTAGAATTTGAGTTCTGCAACCCATTTTTCTCCTGCTGCATCAGAGACTCTCTGTTGTATTCTTTGTCAGGATAGTCATTGGTGGTAGCTGGGCACCACCTAGTTCTTCTGGTCTCAGGCTCATGGGGTCTATGGTTTACGTGGCTCTTTCTGTCTCTTGGACTAATATTTTCCTTATGTCTTTGGTATTCTTCATTCTCCTTTGCTCCAGATGGGTTGGGACCAATTGAAACATCTTAGATGGTCACTTGCTAGCTTTTAAGACCCCAGACAGCACTCAGCAAAATGGGATGCAGAACATTTTCTTAATAAACTTTGTTTTGCCAGTTGACCTAGATGTCCCCTGAAAGCATCGTCCCCAGACCCCTGCCCCTGCTACTCTGTCCCTCAGAGTGTTTGGTTGTATTCATGAAACTTCTTAGCTTTTGGTTTAGTCCAGTTGTCCTGACTTCCCCTGTATTGTGTGTTGTCCTTCCCTTCACCTAAGATAATTCTTATCTACTGTCTAGTTAGTGAATACTCCTCTCCCTCCCTCCCCACCCTCATAACCATCAAAGAATGTTTTCTTCTGTGTTTAAACCTTTCCTTGAGTTCTTATAATAGCGGTCTCATACAATATTTGTCCTTTTGTGACTGACTAAATTCACTCAGCATAATGCCTTCCAGATTCATCCATGTTGTGAGAAGTTTTGAGGATTCATCATTGTTCTTTATCGTTGTGTAGTATTCCATTGTGTGAATATACCATAATTTTTTAATCCATTCATCTGTTCATGGGCACCTAGGTTGTTTCTATCTTTTTACTATTGTGAACAGTGCTGTGGTGAACATGGGAGTGCATATATCTATTCATGTGATGACTCTTACTTCTCTAGGATATATTCCAAGGAGTGGGATTGCTGGATCATATGGTGCTTCTATTTCTAGCTTTTTAAGGAAGCGCCAAATTGATTTCCAAAGTGGTTGTGCCGTTTTACATTCCCAGCAACAGTGTATAAGTGTTCCAGTCTCTGCACAACCTCTCCAGCATTTATTATTTTGGGTTTTTTGGATTAATGCTAGCCTTGCTGGGGTGAGATGGTATCTCATTGTAGTTTTGATTTGCATTTCTCTAATGACTAATGATCATAAGCATTCCTCATGTATCTGTTAGCTGCCTGAATGTCTTCTTCGGTGAAGTGCCTTGAACAGGTATTTCTAATTCTAGATTCAGTATTAGGTGGCCATTTATGTCCTCTAACCTACCCTCTTTAGCAATAAATCTGATCTATTGAATCTCCGTCTGCCTGAATCTTTTTCTCTCAATTGGTTCAGAAGTCCAGGGGGACAAAGGTCATTTTATGACTCCCTCAAACGCCAACAATGATAAGTGCAGGGTATGTATGACACAAAAACCAAATATAGGAATTTTTTTCTTATTGTAGAATTTTTTTTTCTAATGAGGAAATTCTGTTGAAAATGGGTAATGTTAATTACAAGGCAACGTGTAAAATTTGTCCAGGATATTTGAAAGGTCTACTGACTTGGAACTGTGATATATCACGGTGTTGACTCTAGATTTAATTGGAAGGGAAGAATGTGAAGAGAAGCATGCTATGCTCTGCTCATCTGGATCAACTTTCTTGAATGAATATAATTTACAAAAATAAAATACACCCATTTTAAGTTTACAGTTTAGGTTGCTTGGACAAATGTGAACACCCATGTAACCACTACTACCATCAAGATATAGAATATTTCCATCACCTAATAAGGTTCTTCATGCTCTTTTGCAGTCGGTTCTCCTCCACTCCAACCAATAGCCCTCGACAACCACTGATCTGCTTTATGTGACTATAAATTCGATTTACCTTTTCTAGAATTTCAAATAAATAGATCGTACAGTATGTGCTCTTTTGTGTCTGGAATTTTTCACTCAGCATAATGTTTTTGAAATTCATCCGTATTGAGATTCATCTGTCATTGTGTATATCAGTAACTCGTTCCTTTTCTTTTTGCTGAGTTGTATTCCATTGTGTGGGTATACTACAATTTGTTTAGCTGTTTACCTGTTGATGGACATTGAAGTTGTTTCAAGTTTTGATCTGTTACGATTAAAACTGCTATGTACATACATTACAAGTCTATGTGTGGACATATGCTTTCATTTCTTTGGGGTAAAATACCTAGCGTTAGAATTGCTAAGTCTTACGGTAAGTGTATGTGTAACTTTAGAGGAAGCTGCCAAACTGTGTTCCAGAGTAGCTATACCATTTTGCGTTCCCACCGGCAATAAGTTAGTTTCATTTGCTTGGTATTGTCAGTCTTTTTAATGTTAGCCATTTTAATGTGTCATGATATCCAACTGTGGTTTTAATCTGCATTTCTCTGATGATGTTGAGCATATTTTCATATGTTGATTTCACATCTGAGTATCTTCCTTTGGAAAGTGTCTATTCAAATATTTTGTGCATTTTTTTATTTGAGTTTATTATTAAGTTGCAAGAGTTTTTTTATATTTTGGATACAAGTCTTTTATGAGATATATATTTTGAATATTTTTTTCCTATCTGAGGCTTTCCATGTCATTTCCTTAATGGCACCTTTTGAAGAGCAAAAGTTTTTAATTTTGTTGAAGCCCAGTTTCTTTTCTTTTGTGGTTGTTTTTTGTGTCCTAAGAAGTCTGTGCTTACCCTAAGATCACAAAGTTTTTTTATGTTTTATGCTAGAAGTTTTTTGTTTTAGCTTTATGGTTAGGTCTGATCCATTTCATGTTAAATGTTATGTACAGTATGAGGTAAAAGTCCACTTTCATTTTTTTGATGTCTAGTTATTCAAGCACTATTTGTTGAAAAGACTACCCTTTTCCCACTGAAATGCCTTGGCATCTTTGTTGAAAATCAGTTCACCATAGATCTGAGGGTCTGTCTGAGCTCTCTGTTCTGTCACACTGATCTGTCTACTGCCAACACCACCATCTTGATTACTGTAGTTTTATAGTAAGTCTTACTGATCAGAATTTGAAAACTTTTTTCAAAACTGTTTTAGCTATTGTCTTGGTCATCTAGTGCTGTTGTAACAGAAGTACCACAAGTGGATGGCTTTAACAAAGAGAAATTTATTCTCTGACAGTCTAGTAGGCTGCAAGTCCAAATTCAAGGAGTCAACTCCTGGGGAAGGCTTTCTCTCTCTTTTGGCTCTGGAGGAAGGTCTTTGTTATCAATCTTCCCTTGGACTAGGAGCTTCTCCGCACAGGAAGCCCAGGTCCAAAGGATGTGCTGTGCTCCCGGTGCTTCTTTCTTGGTGGTATGAGGTCCCTACTCTCTGCTTGCTTTCCTTTCATCTCTTGTACGATAAAAGGTGGTGCAGGCCACACCCCAAGGAAATCCCTGTACATTGGATCAGGGATGTGACCTGAGCAAGGGTATTACATCCCACCTTAATCCTCTTTAACCACAGGCAGAGATGATGATTTATATACACGGGAAAATCACAAAATGGAGGACAACCACACAATACTGGGAATCATGACCTAACCAAGTTGACACGTATTTTTGGGGGACATAATTCAATCCATGACAGCTATTATAGTTTCTTTGCCTTTTCAAATGCATTTTAGAATCAGCTTGTCTGTATGTTCAAGGAAGCCTGCTGGAATTTTGATTGCAATTATGTTGAATCTGTAGATTAGTTTGGGAGGAATTGACATTTTAACAATATCATGTCTTCAAATCCATGAACATGGCATATTATTCATTTTTTTAGGTCTTCTTTAATTTCTCCTAGTAATGTTTTGTAGTTTTCAGGGAACAGGTCTTGTCTATATTCTGTTAAGTTTACTCCTAAGTATTTCATGTTTTTTTTTTTTTTGATGGTATTATAAATAGTAGTTTAAAAAATTTCCTTTTCCAATTGTTTAATACTGTTACATAGAAATACAATTGATTTTTGTATATTGACCTTGTAGCCTGCAACCTTGATGAATTCATTGATTAGTAGTAGTAGCTTTTTTTTTAAATAGATACTTAGAATGTTCTATGTATACTATTATGTCTTTATGAATAAAGACAGTTTTCCTTCTTCCTTTTCAAACTGTATGCCTTTTATTTCCTTCTGTTGCCTTACTGCACTGTCTAGGACCTTCAGTACAATGTTGAATACAAGTGAGAGTAGACATTCTTGCTTTTTTTAATAATCTTTTAGTTTTTCACCTTTAAGTATGATGGTAGCTGTAGATTTTTTAAACATGTATATGTCCTTTGTTAAATTGAGAAAGTTTCCTTCCTAGTATGCTGAAAGCCTTTTATCATGAATGGTGTTGAATTTTGTCAAATGCTTTTCCTGTATCTATGAGATGATTATATGATTTTTCTCCTTTATTCTGTTAATATGGTAGATTACATTAATTTTTCAAGTGTTAAATCAACTTTGTATTCCTGGGATAAACTCTACTTAGTTGTATATGATATATTATCCTTTTCATGTATTGCTTGATCCAATTTGGTAATATTTTATTAAGGATTTTTGTGACTATGTTCATGAGGGATGTTGGCCTATAATTTTCTTTCCTTGTACTGTCTTTGTCTGGTTTTGGAATCAAGATAATGCAGACTTCATAAAAAAGTTAGGAAGTGTTTTCACCTGCCGTATTTTCTGAAAGGGTTTATATAGGTTTGGTATTATTTCTTTCTGAATTCACAAGTGAAGCCATCTAGGCCTAGAGTTACCTTTTGATAAGGTTTGTAATTACAAATTCAATTTTTAAAATAACTATAGTGTTGTTAGTTGCCCTCGAGTCGATTCCAACTCATGGTGACCCCATGTGTAGATAATGTCAGTTATGTCACATTTGGAGTATTACACAAAACTGTTATTATGATAATATGATGAACTCAGAATCCAAAAAAAAAAAAATCCATTTATTGCAACTGTTGATATGTCTCTTAGTCTTTTAAATATATAGGTTCTCTCTTTTTCTTTTTTTTAAGGAAGTGTTTGACTGCTAACCAAAAGTTTGGCAGTCAAAACCCACCAGCTGCTCTGTGGGAGAAAGATGTGGCAATCTGCTTCTATAAAGATTACAGCCTTGGAAACCTTATGGGGCAGTACTGTTCTGTCCTATAGGGTCACTATGAGTCAGACTCTACTCAGTGACAATGGTTTTGGTTTTTGGGTCATTTGTTCTTTAGAACTTTCCACGTTATATTTTGCTTATTGCATCCCCCTTATATCATTGATGTTCCTCTGTACCCTATATTTCTTGTAAATTGGTACTTCGATCTAGGAGTTTGATCAGATTCATTCAATTTTTTGGCAAGAATAAGTCATGGGTGCCCTTGAATCCTTCCACCTGGAGTTACAAATGCCTGCCTCACTCTTTCTCTTTGTAGTGTCAGCAGCCATTGATTATCACTGACTACAGACCTAATGGCATAGTGATTGTCAGCTGAGGGAGAGATGGCAGAAAAGGAGCATCCAGCTCAAACTGCTAAAATGTTCTATTTCACCATGCTAACTAATGCCTAAGAAGAAAGAGAGAATGTTAAGACAAATGTGATAAAATATTACCAATTGCAGAATCTGGGTGGAAGGGTTCAAAAGTAATGAATATCTCTAACACAACGCTTGGTTTCTAAACTCCATTCTCCACTAAGTGGAGCCAGGGCTTTGTACTATTCTTGTAACTTTTCTCTAAATTTAAAAATATTTTAAAGTAAAAAAGTTAAAAAAATCCAATTTAAAAGGATACACAAGATGACCTGAAGCAAACAAAAATGGCACAAGTTTTCTGAAATTGAAGATATGGAACTCAGATTGAGTGTATTTATTTATTGTAACCTCCAAAATAATTTCAGTTGGAACAACTGCTTCTTAAAACCATATCAATATCAGGCTCAGAATTTAATTACAACAAACCAAGCAATTCACATAAACACTTTAAGCAACAAAACATGCTTAATATTTTTTTGACAAAGATCTTTCAAATATGTGTACAGCATGATTGGGTATCACACACAGCTGTTATAAGGTGACTCTAAGTGCCCAAGTTAAGTGTACCCTTTATGATGTTAAACTCTTATGACATGTGGAAGGCTACTTTAATCAGTCTTTCCACTGATTAAATAAAGTTCATAATGGCAGAGCTTGCCTTCCACTTAAATTTTAAAGTATATTTCTAGGTCATTCCTTAGGAAAATAAAACCATGCACACTTTTTTTGAGAAAACAAGCTGCTTAGACTTTTTATTTTTATATTATACATTTCAGTTATGGGTTATTTATTAAAGTCTTTTTTATGTTACATTTTAAAAAGTACCAGCTAGTGGGACAAAACTAGAAAATATTGACCAGAATGTTAGGTTCGCCTGAAATCAGAGTTTTCTAGATAAATAAATGTAGCCTCACTAAAAATTTCTCACTATGTATAATACATAGCTTGGAAAGAACTTTAAAATTTTGGACTGTATTTTTCATGTCTTTAGGATTTTTCTTTATTCCTCTGATAACTCTTGAAAATTCAAATCTACTTTATAGATGTCAATCTCACTGAATTTTCAACACCTTGGCCTGAACTTGCTTAGGAAAAAAAAAATCTAACATCTGCAACTTGAGCTGGTTATACTGGGAGGGGAGGGGTTACCATATTTTATTATACCTTGTATTAACAACAAACCTTCTCATAGAGAAGAAAATAAATACCTTACATCATATTTACAACAATAAAAATTCACATTTTCATGCTTAGTGACATTTAAATCATCCATAACGTAGTCCTCATAGTTTATTGGAATAGAGCCCTACTAATACCTGGCCCCCTGCTGTGTGCCAGCTATAAAGCTCCTGATGTTATGAAAATACCAAAATTTCTGCCATCCTTCTATCCAGCAGAAAAACCAAGGGTAGATCTTCCCAGTCGCTGACTTGTGACAGCAATCCTGTGTCATAGAGATGTGGCAGGCAATGTGCTTCAGTCCTTGGGACACATGTGAATCAACTTGTTAGTCTGAAAAGTGCTCAAAAGCCAGGATGTTCTCTCATGTGACTTGTAGGATGAAAGTAGCCCTTCTGAGCACAGATAAACGCTAGGCTTCATGTATATGTCTATTGCACGGGATTTTATAAGGTTCCAGAAACAGTGCTGAACTTTTTTCTTTACCTACTATATACACTTTTCTGATAAGCTCAGTGTTTCACTGGGAAACGTGACTTGCAGGGAGTTCCCCTTAGAGGCAGACCCAGCCCTGCTGCTCCCACCAACCTCATCCACCAGTAAGACACTCTCCGAGTCCTGCCCCTGTGAGGAGTCTGAGGTCTCTGATATTCGCAAAGTCCTTAGTGAGGTGGTGTCTGTTTGGGCCAGGCCCATGCCAGGCACACCTGGAAGCAAATTCTTGCCTCCAAGGCCATTTTCGCTTAGTTCTGAGAGGTAAAGAAGCGTCTGAGATGTGCTGCTGATCTCCTTCAGCTCCCGGGAGAAGAAGGAACGAGAGTGGCTGGACATGGCAGACGATGTCCTCCTACTGTCTGAGCAGTGCTGGCCCGGGCGGTCTCTGCGGGCCCCACCAATGCGGCAGAAGAGGCATTTGATCTTCTCCACCACTTTACTCAGCACTGTCTTCCGCAGAAGGATGTATATCCAGGGATCCAGGATGGGGTTCACAGAAGCAATTCGGATGGCCTGTAAATCTGGGTTTTTGCTGATTTCTTCCTCCAAACTCGGCTGATATAACTGATTGATGAACACCCGCACCTGCATGAATGAGATGTCCACGTTTAAGATTTTATCATTAACCAACTAGGAATGCACTTACATGAAATGTCTAACTTAGCAACATCAGGTAGCTGCCCTTTTTTCCGGTACTAAGTGCCAAGAACAGAGCAACCTACACAAGAAACCTCAGAAAAACCAGTGATTTTGCAACTAGATTTATGTGTTGAGTTAGCACAACCTTAAGGAGTGCTGGTGGCACAAGGGTTAAGTGCTCAGCTGCTAACTGAAAGATCAGCCTTGGAACCCACCATTGGCTCCAAGGGAGAGAAGGCCTGGCAATCTGCTCCCATAAAGATTACAGCCTAGGAAACCCTACAGGTGGGGCAGTTCTACTCTGTTGGAAACCACTTGATGGCATGCAACACAACTTGAAATTTTTTGGTAACTCTTACGTATATCTTCCCTAGATCAAAGATGGTATCACAAAAATTCTGTCTATGTGTGTATAGGTAATGTATGCATAAAGTCCTCCATTTCTGTGAGCGCTTTAAAATTTTTATAATTTGAATGAAATATGTATATAGATTTTTCACACAGCCATTGCTTTCCTTTATTCTAGCTGCTATTGTGTATATTTTAAATGAAACTCATTTTGTATGTCAAATAACTAGCTAATCAACACAGAAAGCCTAGAGATTCCCCCTTTTTAAAAAAGAATTTGGAAAGAATGTACTGGAAACTTTTAAACCAATGTCTAAATTTCCTATCATCCTAAATAACCAGAGAATGGTTTTTATCTTCTCTAAGAGGCAAGAGTCTGTTCCCCAGTTATAATAATCATTTGATTTTATCAACTCTTCCTCCAACCAAATGCCTTCTTCAATCCTTTTCTTTCCACTGCGTTTCTCACCTGGATTATTGCATCAGTCACCAAACTCGCCCTCCTACCTCCAGTTCCTCTCCTCTCCAGTCCATCCTCCAACTGCACCCAGAAGATTATTTCTAAAACAGTCTGATTATGCTACTTAGCTGCCACACCTTCAATGGCTCCCTGCTGCTTGCCAACGATACTTCTGCTCATCTTTTAGGACTGGGTTCAAATGCCTCTCAGTGAATTTATCCTGAATCTCCAATCAGAATCAATCCCTCCTCTGTGCTTACTTGAGCCAGTTAGTAGCCAAGTACTAATAAGACAGACCCGTAGATGTGACAACTCAGTGCAGTTTGTGAACTGTTCGGGGCAAGAGCCAGGTATGGCAAGAGCATGTATGGCAGGTAAGGCATAAATGAAATAAACGCAAAAAGACCCTAGCGACCTATTTGCTGTTTTGGAGTTTTATTTTTGGCAGTTAAAAATAAAAGCTCTTAGTTTGTTTTCTTACATTCTTTCATGCATTTAATGACTTAGCAGTTAGTAAGCACTTTAATGTGGGATAGCCACTGTAATAGACTCTGGGGACAAAAAGTTACATTAGATATCCTGAAGTCCTCAAAGACAGAGCATAACATATAGTCCGGAACACAGGAAAATAGATCAACTATTACTGCCGAATAATTAAATGAAATTGGAGTGGTATATACAGGGAGGTGCAGCTAATTCAGCTGTGGAGTGGAGGACGTCAGAAGACGCTTCCTAGTGGGGAAGAAGCTTGCACTGAGCTTTGATGGATGACTGGGAGTTTGCTAAAATTAGAAGGAAGAATATAACATTTCAGATAGAGGTAACTCCACGTGCAAAATCATGGAAGAGTGAAATGATATGCCAACATCTGGCAACGTCAAATGATTCGGTAAAGAGAGCATGAGTTCATGTAAACCAACAGAAGACTATCATTTGATTCCTGTTACAGAAAAAAATAAAAAAATAAAAAAAACTTGTTGCTGTCGAGTCAATTCCGACTCGTAGTGACCCTATAGGACAGAGTAGAACTACCCCATATGGTTTCCAAGGAGCGGCTGGTGAATTCAAACTGCCAACCTTTTGGTTAGCAGCTGAGCTTTTAATCACTGTGCCACCAGGGCTCCTCTATTACATATAGTATGTTACTAAATTACTTTTCTAAAATCCAAGAAATTTTGAGTTCTGAAACACATCTGGCCCTAAATGTTTTGGTTAAGGGATTATGGACCTATATGGACTCAAGGATAGCCGCAATCATGAAGATGGTGCAGGACTGGGCAGTGTTTCATTCTGTTGTAGATAGGGTCTCTATGAGTCAGAGCTGACTCGGCCACACCTAACAACAACAACAACAACAAATCTCATAGAATAAAATGATCAGATGGCTATAACTAAGATGAAATTAACACTTTGATCTCTGGAAGATAGCTAAAGAATGAACAGCACATAGATATATGTGTGTGTGTGTGTGTATATATATATGTGTATATATATATATATGTATGTATACAGGCAGCCCTGGTGGCACAGTGGTTAAGAGCTACGGCTGTTAACCAAAAGGTTGGCAGTTCAAATCCACCAGCCACTCCTTGGAACCCTATGGGGCAGTTCTACTCTGTCTTATAGGGTCGCTATGAGTCGGAATCAACTCGATGGCAACGGGTTTGGTTTACCTCTCTCTATATATATACACGTGCAATATGATGTCTTCTCTTAAAAATACTTTTGGAAAATATGCTGGGATAAATGATAATATCAAGACAAAGCACGGTTGACATTTACTTTGACAAAAAATGTTAAAGCATCGTGGTTTATCTTTACTGAATTCCTCAGCTATGCCCAGGCATGGAGCAGTTACCTCACATCTACAGCCCTTTTCTCGGACAAGGTGTTACTGAGACCCAGAGGCTATCCAAGGTCCCCCACCCAGGCTGCCAGATTCACACTGCTTTTTTTGTTTTACCAAACAGGCTTTCTCTTTATTTCCTGACAGTAGAATTATTGATAAAAACCATGAGGTATGTATTTTATTCACATCACATACTATGTTCCTAAGGGTAAAAGAAATGATGGATTACATTTTGTTAGTATCAGGCCCTGTGAGTAGTCTTTCTTCAGAAGAGACCTATGGCAGGGTCACACTTGAGAATTCATGCCTCTAGGTGGCAGTGTTGCTCCACTTGGAAGTTTTTGGTCCCACAGGCCCTCCCTAAGCAGCCTCTTGCACAGCCATCTCCAAGACACCCTTTCAGCGCAGAGTCTTGGTAAAGTCTGAACTTGGCATTTCTGAGATTTTTACAGTGAATTGTTTTGTTGTTGGCTGGTTTCTCTCACCACAACCTCAAAGGAAAATGATTATTACTGAAAAGAAGGAATTTTTTGTGCAATTATATAAAAGAAATATAACAGATACAAAAGGAATGAAATCTGTAGCTATTGAAGAATGTATTAGGAGTTAACATGTTATTTTTAAATTTCTGTGACCCTTTAGAAAACTCAGCATGTTTGTTAAAAAAAAATTATTAATGAGGTTTTTATATCAAAGGTGATGAGAGGCAAGGAAAGAATTACGTCCTTGCTTCACTTTACCCACAGCAGGACTTTGATTATTGTAAAAGAGCTTGAAAGAAAGCTGTATTAAAGTACACTCCATTTGAGAGTCCCATGGGGCCCTGATGGCGCAGTGGTTAAGCATTTGGCTGCTAACCAAAAGGTCAGCAGTTTGAATCACCAGCCGCTCCCTGGAAACCCTACGGGGCAGTTCTACTCTGTCCTATAGAGTAGTTATGAGTCGGAACCAACTTGATGGCAATGGGTTTGGGTCTTTTTTTGGTATGGGGGGAGGAAGCTTCCAATTAGTGAAAGCCACTGAACTTGGTCACTGAATGCCGTTTCAGTCAAGGGGAGCTTGTAAAAGGATGAGTATTTCAAACAAAATTCAATTTAGGTAAATGCATTGTCAAAGGTTGGTCAAGTTATTTGAAAAGAATCAATGCCAATGAGTTTTTCTTTATAACCTATTCTTCATGAAGATATACTTCAAGTAGAGTAAGAAAAAAAAAAGCTAACGATGAACCAAAACTCATGTACTTCATAATGTCTGACAAATATAGCAACCTCTACTTCGCTTTGAAGGCTCTCTCCAGAGGAGGAAACCAGCTTGAGACGGGTATATCCAAAGCAGCATTTCCATGTTATGTGAGTAGGTGAAAGTGATTTTTGGGAATTCCTGTCCAACAGGCCCTATGTGCTACACAGAATAAACATATTCAGGCAGTGTTCAGTGTGGGAAGAGTGTACTGCTGATAAAATAGAACCTCCAAGTCGGGGAAAGTACCTTAAAAGAATTCACTGAACACAAACAACCTAAAACATATGTTGTCGTTGTTAGGTGCTGTCGAGTTGCTTCAACCCCATGTAAAACATAAATACGCTCCCAATTTTAAAAGTTATAGTCTATTTCCTAGTAGCCTCAGATTTGTGCACGTGGCTTATCACTAATAATGGTGTACGTTACAGTATTACAAACTTCCTGCGAACCATTAGAAATCAGAGTTCAGGAACATAAAAGGAACAGCACTGGAACATAACTTGGAGAAAATATGATGAATTCAAAACAAGGTGTGATGACAGAACAGCTTTAAGGCCATATCTTGTCCCTGGATAGTGCAGACGGCTAACGTGCTCGGCTGCTAACCGAAAGGTTAGAGGTTCAAGTCCACCCAGAAGCACCTTGGAAAAAAAGCCTGGCAATCTACTTCCGAAATATCAGCTATTGAAAACCCTATGAAGCACAGTTCTACTCTGACGAACACGGGGTCACCATGAGTTGGAGTCAACTTGACGGCAACGGGTATATCTTGTAGGAGGCAAAATTCTAAACTTTGGAATCGAACAGCCCTCCGTACAAATCCTGGCTCTGCTTCTTAAAATTTGTATACCAACTGTGAAAGTGGTTAGTACAGTGTCCAGCATACAATATATATGTTGACTGTCGTTTCTGTTTTGTAACCCGTATGTGGAAACTTGGCCTCTATGGAATTTATCAGTAATTTGAAAACCACAGCATAGAGGTAACTTTGGGATATGGTTAATGACATGGTATCAAAAACATGTACTTCCTGCTTAAGAAAAACCTGTTGGCAGGGAACGTCTAACTGAAGAATGTTGAAATCTTGATTAGGCATATTTGGTAATTAACTGTCAAAATCGTAATGCTTTCCAATAAATGACAAGATCCTGTAACTGGATTTGTGCGGGCATGCTACTCGTTCTGTTCCAAGCACATAAAAGGCATTATCTGTGTGTGCTCAGTTATCTAACTGCCTTGTGAAGAGTCCCAAATTGACACAGCTGTTACTAGAAGTTCTTAACACTTCTTTTCAATGACATACACACACACACACACACACACATACACACACACACAATCTTTAGGTAAAAGGTTAGTGGAAAGAGTACTTGACTGAGTGGGAGTGTAAGAGGGCTTGGTTCTAATTCCTTCTGGGTCATTGACTGTTCACTGCAGGCAAGTTATTGAATGTAGGGTCAGTATCTATATCAAAATTTTTTTCTAAAATATTTCTTTTCTTAACTCTAACTTTCAGCATTCTGATAGGAGACTACAAGAATCACTTTAGCTCTGGGAAATAAATCTTGTTAGTAGATGTTCACTAAACTGAAGGCTTGACAGGCCAGCAAAGCATGCTGAAAAGAGCATTAGACTATGACTCATGCACAGTCATCCAGTAAGTTGCAGAATGATTGAAATTCTTCATTTGCAGCTGAGAAAACTGAGGTGTGTGGAGAGGGTGAAAGCGCAAGCCTCCCCTGCTTTCTTCCTAGGGCTCTTCCCAGAATCCAATGGGATGCCTGGTGTGGAAATGCCTTACTTTCACGCGTCACTCTGTAGTCCTCACAGTACGTACCATCAGGTCTGCAATTTCATGCCATGACAGAACATTGCTTCTAGGAATTGCTATTTTTTAAATTTAGCCAATTCTATTAAAAATAATGAAATACTTCTGGTTCTGCTGTAATAGTACTCAAACTTCTGGCATTAATCTTGTTCCTATAAATGTGATTTTTACTTATCTGAAATCCCATTAGTTATGTTTTATGACTGCTTCCAGTTTGCCTACAATAAACAAAAGTGTACCTATTTACAAAGTTTTCATCTGCCTTTGTAAATCTTTGCTGACCCGATGCTGATGAAGGCTTGATAGAGACAGCTAGTTTATAATAAGCAACCAAATAAACACAGGAAGCTATTTTCCTAAGAATGTACATTTTACACAAACAAGGTACAAGATTAATCAAACTGGCCATTCTGCCCCTTACAGAGATGAATGCTTGCTACTTTAGAGTAAGGAGAAAGAAACGAGACAAGCAACAAATACAGCGCTGGCTTGCCTGTGCAAGGAGGAAAATGCCTTTCTAAATCCTATAGTATAACTTTTTGGCCCTGAAGCAAAAGATTTGATTAGAATTGTTATCTTCACATTCGTAAGTGCAAAATTACGCACCAGAAGTGGATCTAGCTACAGTATTTAATACTGTGACCTTGTGAGGCTGTCTTGCTTGTATCTTCCTTAAGCATATAATCTCTTTATCTAAAGTGTAGACTCCTCCATTTCTTCAGCTTCTCCTGTATTTTAAAAATACCCGAGACTGATTATAAATAGGAGAATGGATTAAATGCAGTAACCACCTCCCCACTAAATCTTGTGATATAATGCTTCTTATAGATTCTACTTATACCTTCTCTGTTTATTGATTATGACTATCTTCAGAGAATTTTGCAGGTTTAGCACAGTTCCTTGCAGCCACAAGTAATTTCCCAGCCTTTCTCAAATTTCCGTTCTAAGCTTAGCTCTACTTATGAAACCCATATACTCTGGATAAAAAATGAAAATTTACTTTTTATACTAAACTCAGTATCAATCATCCTCCAAGAGTCACTGTAGTCTTTTTTTTTCTTTTCTTGGTGCCCAAAACTTTATACCAAAATTTTGCTGCTTTTCAGCAGCTGCTCCATTTTCCTTATATATGGTGTCAAGCTTCCCAAAACTCCTTTTCCAAAAAATAAACTATTTTTGCTTTCTCAGCCTTTCCAAAGTGTTTTAAATGATTGGAAGTGTTGGAGTTTCCTCAAATATTAGCAACTCATGATTTGATAAAGTTGAACTAGACACTTTACTTCTTCTTTGGAAGTGAAAATAGGTCCAACTGCTTTAAATGTAAGATAGTTCATAAGCTTTAATCTCATATTACAACATGAATGTGAGAAACATGAAAAAACAAAAAATTATAAACTAAGCTAAGGAGAACCAACAGTTGTGGATAAAATTCTTTTGTGATTCTTTTAGTCATGCTGAATTATGTAATGACTCCCTTACTTATCACTAATTTACAACTAAATTGATTCTAAAATACGATTATTAGTAACTAAAACTGAAGGCTAAAAACTGAAGCTACTACTACTTGTATGGTTGCTTATCTCTTACAAAGGCATGTAAATGCTTTACTAATGTGATTATGTATTAACTGAGCTGGTTTTGGTTTTCAGGATGAAATTAATATCTGCTATATATATTGGACCATATATTGAGTAGATACTATTTTTTCTTTGTTAAAATGTGGGTAATTTGCAAACAACGCATATTACTCCTATAATTTCTTGCCTCCAGCTCCTCAAATAATTTCAAAGGCTTTATGATAAGTAGCCCTGCACCTTAGGGCCAGGTCTACCACTGCAGCCTCTAAGATGAATTAAGCTGTTTATGTCCCTCTAGAAAGCTGGAAGAAAACACTTCATCTGTGACTGTGCAATAATCAGTAGCTTCACATGCTTACCTCCAGCGAAAACATTTAAAAAAGTATGCACATGTCCCTAACCTTCTAATTCTAATTCCTCGGTTGCTTAAAGTGGATGTTCTGTAAATAACAAGCACTCACCTTGTCATTTACTGTTCTATAAAACATAAGGCAGAGGCCGGAGAACCAGGGAGTCAGCGTGAGCTGTATCTTTCAAAATCTCACTTTACTCTGAGTTGCCATGACAGACAATAAAATATATTTATGCAGCTCAAGTATGAGTTAACTCTGTAAATCACACTGGGTCCTGGAATGGTTTAAAGGCTTTTCTGGCCTATTATATTTACTTCTGTTTATACAAATTGGCAAGAAACTACTGTATGCTGGCTCCCAGCCACCTCTAAGTTCCTTCCATTTTCAGTCACTTTGATCAGAGATGTAATATTTTTACAATAAAGAATGCTGGGCAGCGTTAATAAGGGAAAGAATTATTTTCTCTTGCTCCCAACTAGCACAAAACTACCAACTCAGAAAGTCATCTCTTTCTGAGGTTTGCATTTCCAGGAATTCAGTGTTTTGAGAGATGGAAAACTCAATACTAACTGCTTTCAAGAGAAACTCTAAATTATTAAGTTCATCTGCTCACCTGCTTCTGGTACATTCTGTTTTAAACATAGGCAGTGTAGGCAACTAGGTAGCTTTTGAGCGTTTTTGCTGATAATATTTAAAAGGTGTTGTCCTAAAAAATCAAGTGGGCCAAAATGCAAACTGACACACTGGCGGAAGGCCAAAATTAAAAGTGTTTCAAGAGGGAGACATGATACAATCTCACATGTGTAAGTTTTGGAGTCAGATGGGCCTAAGATTCATCACAAGCTGTAGGGCTTTGATTTGGCCATAAATACAACCACCTCTAAACTTGTTTCTCTATAATGGCACTATACCTAGACTACAAGCCATCAAAATCTCTTCTAGCTCTAAAATTCAAACTTTCTACATAAATCAAAACTCCCCAAACCCACTCTCCAAAGGAACTGTGTACAAGACAGAGATGGCCACCCACCAAGACATTTCAGGCATGTTGTTTGTTCACTGTGTGGAAGACGGGCTGTCACATTACTGTGCTTTCCCCTCCACATCTGACAGAAGGCAGGTGTTTCCCGGAAGGCTCAAGGCCAATATCAGGCAGCAAGAGCCTGAGGCTGCCCCCGGGGAGAAAGGAAACCCCACTTCCGGGAAACCAACTAAGGGATGTGAGGGAAATGCACCTGTCTCGGTAGAGGCAGGGTGTAATGGGGGTCGTGCCTGCTCTGAGAAGCTGGGTGTGGAGCAGACAGGTTCACTGCCAAGGAATCAGAAGCGGAAGGAGCGAACGGGAGAGAGGTGGATGTGGGATAAGGCACCAGCTCGGGCCACTCACCACGAGCGGGATGGAGCAGATGAGCACCACCACAGAGGTGGCAATGAGTAAGATGACCATCTGGATCTCGGCGCCCGCAATGCGGCGGAAGCTTCGGCGGCGGCGAAAGTCGCTAAGGCGCGGCAGGGCTGGGGAGGCCGCGGCCGGGTGGCCTCGGCAGTCTGCCGGCGCCACGACTGCGGCGGCCGTCGCGTGGTGCTGCTCGGTGCCCAGCGAGGTGCGGCGCATGAACTGGCGGTGCATGCGGAGCAGTGCGCCACAGACGAGCACGTTGCAGAGCACGGTGGCTAGGATGAGGAAGGAGCTGAAGCCGGCGTACATGTAGGAGTAGGCAGCGTGCGCCGTCACGTTGGTGGTCCAGTCGATGAAGCACCAGGTGTCTGGGTACTGCAGCCGCGAGCTGCCGAGACCCATGCTGGGGAGCGCGCAGAAGAGCACGTTGGACACATAGACGGCGAAGAGCGTGAGGCCGGCCAGCCGCTTGTCCACGTAGTGGCTGTAGAAGTAGGCGTGGTTGATGGCCAGGTAGCGCTCGATGCTCATGGCGCAGATGATGCTGAGGCCCGACAGGCCGAAGAAGAGCAGGATGAAGGTGCTGTACTCGCATAGCGCCTCACCCCCGGGCCACTGGCCCTTCATGTACGTGGCGATGGTCACCGGGCTCACCAGCAACGTGCCCAGCAGGTCGGTGACGGCCAGCCCGCATACTAGCGTGTAGAAGGTCGTCTCCTTTTGCTCCTTGCGCGACTTGCACAGCACCACGATGGCTACCAGGTTGCCCACCACCCCGAAGATGAACATCACCGCCGGGATGGTCACTGAGTTGCTCGGACGATCGGGGATAAAGGAGGCGGACGCATTGGCCCCGGAGGTGGACATGGTGGTGGCCAGTGGTGCGCAGCCGTGAGGTGTGAGGCTGGGTCTAGGAATGGTAGGAGAGATGAAGGCGCAGTGAGCGGAAATGACCACTTGGAAGGTGTCAGACCCGAACCCAAAAAACAAATACGCTGATGAGACGCGGGGAACAACTCGAGTCTACAATGTATTTGTAGTCACTTAACAACTGCGGCTACTAAAATCTCCAGGCTCCCAATACGTTCTGCAAAAAGCACCACTCAACTGACATTAATATTTATAAGCTGATGCTGCCATTCCCTCCTCCTCCCCAACCCAACTCTCTCCACTGCCAAGATGAACAAGACCCATCTCACGGGAAAAGTGGCTTGCTATTATTATTCCCGACAGAACATAAGTCAATAAAATTCTCATTGAAAACAAGTTACGAAGGAAGACAAGTTGGAGACTCCGCTTTCTCGCCCCTGACTGCCCCCGAAAGCGCTCTCTGTCCGGCGCCCGCAGCCCCATCTCACCTGTGGAGTCGGTGGTAGTCCTTGGGTCCCCAGGGTCACCCCTCAGATGTCCTGGACACGCCTCCAACCTACCCCTCAGCCTCGCCCCGCTCAGTCCGGAGCTTGCCAAGTCTTTGCCTTCTCAGAGTCGAGTCTCGGTGACTGCTAATTTTCCGGAACTGGGTTCAGAGTGGCCAGCTTTAAAAAATTTGGAGAACCAAGGAGGGTAGTGAGATGGCTCAGTGAAGGCCGGTTTTGGATTTCTTGTTTGATTTTTCCTCCAAAGATAAGTCCCAGCTTTGTGGAGCCCGCAGGTGTCCGCTCAGGTGTGCGGCCGGGCTCACAGGTGACACCGAGCCTCTGTACCCTCTCCGGCCGCCCTCCTCTCCAGCTGCGGGCAGTACGGACGGCTACCTGGGTTGACGGCTGCCGCTGCGGTCGCTCCTGGTGCCCTGGGGGAGGCTCGGGGTCCGCTCAGCCTGGGGCTCTAACCTGCGGCAGATCATCTTCCCTTCGGACTCCGGGGCAGCGAGCTCCGCTCTCGCCCTTCCAGCCACTGTACAAACTTTTTTCCAGCTTCAAGTTTCCCTGGCGGAGGCGGAGACAGGCGGTGCGCGGCCCGGGCGCCCATTGGCCGAACTGGAAAGGGCGGGGCGCGCCTCGACCGCCCGCAGCCAGCGGTCGCCGCTTGGGCAGGAAGCGAGCAAGGGGGTGCCGCCAGAGGAAGGCAGGCCTCCAGGCTGTGTAGTCTCGCAAGGGTCCGGGAGTTGCTGTAGCTGCGCTTCCTGCTGATGGTGCGCTGAGGCAGCCAGCGGCGGGGACGCGAGGAAGCCCTCGTGCTCTCCTGACACCCTGTTAGCCTCTTTTCTACTTCGCATCGGTCGCGCGAGCGCTGAAACCAGTCCCCATCTCTGCTAATTCTTGCACCTTCTGCCCGCGGGTTGCAATATTCGGGTTCTGGAAAGGGTGGGCAACTGCTTTAAGACTCTACCTTAAGCCCCTGGCAGGAGGGTGGTGAACGGAGGTGGGGTATGTGTATGGGCGTTCCCGCTTGTGTCCCCGGGTCAGACTTGGGTGCGCGCAGCGATTTGTGGGGTGGATGGGTGGGTGAGTATTTGGGTGGGGAAGCAGCGAAGAATCCAACCTCTCACCATAAAAGGAGTTAGTTGGCAGTAGCCGGTCACGTGGCAGAGCCCAGCGGCTGTGAAGAGAGATGGCCTGCCCGCGCGACACGGCAGATTTGGTGACGGTGGGAGGGCTGCGTGTCTGTCTCTCTAGCCGTGCAGACCTTTCTTCCCTTCTGGGGAACTTTTCCCTGAAGGGACCGGTAGAGTGAGCCATGTGTTTTTGGCTCTGGCCCTGTTGTGTTCTTGTTAGACACCTTCACGGATCTCTTGAAAGACTAATGGAAAGTGAGAAAGGGGTTTGAGTAAATGGATTCTCTAGTCATTACCTCCATGGTTAATTCTTGGAAAAACCTATTGGCTCTACCATTTTCTTTGAATTTCAGTTTGTTTGACTTATTGTCTCCTGGGGAACAGTACCCTCGTTCCTAAAATCAGAACTGAAAACTAAAAAATGATTGTAAACCTTCTTTGGTGTAATCACAACCACTTTACCTTTTTTTTTTTTTTAAACCATCAAGTGAGATCGTGTGGGCTTTCACACAATTTAAATTTCCTAGAAAAACTTCTTTCAGCATGCGTTTTAACATCTTGCATTTCCTTAGAGGGTAAGTGAATAACTAGGTCCTTTGATATGCTGATACCTTAGATGCTATTTCTTGAATGAACAAACCTCTTAAGAATTTGTGTGATTCTCCAGTTATTCTGAGATGGTGTAGTAACAAGTGCGTAATAAAAGAAACAAAGAGGGCATTCTAGATTTCAACTAATTGCAGGACATAAAGTATCTAGAACCACATTTAGTTGTGTAAGGCACCATATGTGTATATTAATATAGTAATATTCTATTGTTCATACGATTTCCTCATAAATGTCAGGGATCCCGAAGACAAATTTGTTAACCAATATAAAAAGAGTTGATGGCGACTGGTCATGTTTCTCAGTCTTCTCTTAATCACCACTATAACCACTCCTGGTGTCTGTGTTTCTTTTGAGTAGAACTTTGTCAGCATTTCAAGTAGGACTTTGTCAGCAAATCAGCTGTAGAAGAATGACGGAGCACATTCTCCCCCATCCTGCACTAACCACGTGTCATCATTGTAACTCATATCGGGACTGTCAGTAAATGTATGAAGGGGAGATGGAAGTTCCACTTACACTCGTTGCCTGCTTGTAGAACCATTTTTACAGTTTTTTTTTTTGAATTTGACGTTCCTAAGATAGAAAAGAACTGGAATAGACACGTGTTAATTTTTCACTGTGAAGAAAAAAAACTAAAGCACTACTGCTGAGGCAGTCAGTAAGAATTAAAGGTTTCAACATATCGTTGATAAACTGGGCTTAATTTTTATCAACTGCATTATTTTTCTCACTTGTTGTTAGCTGCTGTCTAGTTGGTTCAGACTCATGGCAACCGTATGTCCAACAGAATGAAACATGGCCCAGTCTTGCTCCATCTTCACTTAAACATACCAGTCATCGGTATGCTTGAGTCCATTGTGGCCACTGTGTATTTTGAGTGCCTTATCTTCCAGCACTATATCAAACAATATCCTGTTGTGATCCATATGTTTTCATTGGCTAATGTTTGGAAGTAGATTGCCAGGTCTTACTTCCTAGTCTGTTTTAGTCTGGAAGCTCGGCTGAAATCTCTCCATAATGGGTGACACTCCTGGTATTTGAAACACTGGTGGCATAGCTTCCAGCATCATAGCAACATGCAGGCCACCACAGTACAGCAAACTGACGGATAGGTGGTAGTTTTTCTCACTAGTTTTTTTAATTGGCTTTCCACAGTAGCTTTAGGAAGACGAAAAATAAATAAGAATCCAGAACACAAGACTAAAAAAAAAAAAAATGTAATGAAGTTTATCTTGCCCGTTTTTAGTGCATGATTCTTAAAGCTTAAGTTTAGCCTTCAGAAGCAGAAGTTGAAAGTCTGGGAAACAAATGATTATTTTATTTTCTTAATTTCAAAAACTGGGACGGTGGAGTTCAATTTTCCTTACACCCTGCCAAGAATCTACATTGCAAAAGAAAGTGAAGATTGCCATGTTCATTAGTGCACAATTCTTGTAAATGTTTGTATATTTCAGTGGGATATATTTGTAATTCTAGACATTGTTTTCTTGGCTCCCTTGCAGTTTCCTCAATCCCTCCTTCTCTTGGGTTCAAATTTTTAGGGCTCACATTAAATCCTCTCTGAAGATTCGACCTGGCCCAAGAACTGCCTTGCTGATAAGTTTGATTGCTCTGTTATAGCTGACAATTTGATTCTCTTTGTAGTAAACACCATAAGGGGAGAATTTATTTAAAACCGAAGGCTGCATGGGGGCTACCAGGCACATTCATGTTGACTAGGTTGAGTCTTCCTTGGATCAAAGGAAAGCAAGACAGACAGAATGTGGGTTCAGCCAGCAGGGATAGGGCAAGAAAGGGGATGATTCCTAGGAGGAGGGCAGCAGGATGAGTCATATCTGGCCTGGGCCCCTTCCTAAGCCAAAGCTAGCAAAGCAAAGCCTCGGCAAGTTGTATTTGCTCTCTGTTTTTTATGACAGGCCATGTAAGTACTCAAAACAAAGTGCAGGAGTCACCTGTTATAAGCCACACTATGTCCTTGGACACGTTTGCTCTCCACACACTAACCAGTTCAGTGGGTTACAAGCATGGCATTAACCCAAACTTGAGCATAGGAAGAGGCTCACGATTGTTGTTGTGGTCCTAATGAAGCTGTCCTTTTTTCAAATGTATGGTCTCCTAATTATTTTCATTTTTTAAGCCTGAATTTTATGCCGAGTCTAGTGCCTGGAGTTGTTACATGTGTCAGGACTGTGATTAACTCCCCAACGTCTTCATGTGGTGGTAAATTGTTACTGTGGAGGCTAGTTACTCCCAACGGATTGCTTCAGGCTTTCTTTAGCTCTGACAGTTACTCTCCTCAAAGTGATGGCTTTCTGTTCTTTTATTTCCCCCCAAATAAGTGTTTCTACTGCATCGCCATTGTGGATGGGACAATGGGCAAAGAAAGGGGGTCATTTATCCACTATTGCCCATTTTTGAAGATACACGTAGAGAGAGAGAGAGCCTTTATGGGTCTCTCTCTTTATGGGTCACGTTCAGGAGTTTGTCCTGTAGAAAGGAGGACCTTCTAGCTTTATCTGGGTTTCTTTTCACACCGAAATTTCTGTATGTTTTAGCACTTCTGAAGACACACAGAAACTCCCTGGTGTAATCATCAACACCATCATCATCTGAGCTTGCGTTAGTTCATCACTTCCCACAGCACTTTCACATGCGCACTCACACATGATCTTCTCAGCAACCCCATGAGGATGTCAGGTAGGTGTGATGGCGACTCCTGGTTCACCAAATCCTGTTTCACTTCGTCCTGAACACGTAGCTAGATGTTGTTTCCCAGACTCCCATGTGATTAGGTGGAGCCTGGGTGACTGAATTATGGCCCGTGAAATACAAGTAAAAGTGATGTGTGCCACTCTCAGGCCTGGTCCCTATAAGACCTCGAACCTTTGCGCTCTTTATCTTCCTTTTTCTACCAACCGCATGTAAGACCTTGTATGGCAGAGCTACTAGATAGAAAGCCACTGGGTCCCTGAATGCCTGCGTGGTGGGGGGACCTCATTCCATCCCAGCAGCCCTCATCGGACAATGAAGAAAATGAGAAATAATCTACTGAGATTGGCCGGGGGCGGGGGGTGGGGGTGGGTGCGGTGTGGTGCTTGTTTCATTGGTTAGCCTGTAGTGATTAATACAGTTTAATTGGCATCATCTCTTTTCAGTGGCTGAGAATGTGAGCACAGAAAAGCTGTTCCTTGCTCAAAGTCACAAGAATTAGTAGGAATAACTGGAAATTTTCCAGTGCTTGCTCTGTGTGAGGCTTTATGCATATGACATCTAATCTTCACAACAAACCTGTGAGGAAGGTAGTATTATGCCCATTTTACAGATGAGCAAACTGAAGTTTGGTTAAAGAATGTGGGGGACGTTGCCATTTTTTAAAAGTCTACCCAGCATATGAACCTCTTTCCTATTTGTGTGATATTGTTGGGAGGCAAGGCCCACCCTCCCATTAAAAATCCATTGCCATTGAGATGATTCTGACTCATCAGGGCCCCATGTTTCAGAGTTGAACTGTGCTCCATAGGGTTTTCAATGGTTGATTTTTCTAAAGTAGATCACCAGGCCTTTCTTCTGAGGTGCCCCTGGGTGGACTTGAACTTCCAACCTATTGTTAGCAGCTGAGCATGTTAATCATTTGCTCTACCCAGGGACTCCTAATGTATTAACGTTATTATTGCTAGTTGCTATCAAGTCTGTTCTGACTAATGGCAACCCCATGTGTTACAGAGTAGAGCTACTCCATGGAGTTTTCTTGGCTGTGATCTTAAAAGAAGCAGATTGCTAGGCTGTTTCTTCTGTGATACCTCTGGAT